TTTAGTTCTGCTTACTTCACTTTGTATCATTTCAAATAAGTCTTCCTGTGCTTCTCTTTACTTTTCATATTCATCATTTCTTATGGTACAGTAAATCCCATTACATTTATGTGTAGCATTCCCCCTGGGGCACTCTCCCAACTGTCACTCACTGACCCTTGAGCAGAAGTGTCAAACTCACACAGCAAAACTAGATTAAAATGTAATTGGGAAATGTTTTAATAAAGTTAAATATAAATACAACAAAACTTGGTAATGTTAATTTATGATTTTTTAAGTCAATATGTAGCAGACAGAATCTGTTTCTCTTTGAGTCTGACACCATTGACCTAAAAGGTGGTTATGACTATCAGGTTCTGGAAGGTACACTATGAGTACTTACTCCTTTTTTTTTTCTTCTTGTTTTTGTTTTTTGAAAGTTTTATGCAATTGGGGTTAAGTGTCAAGTGTTTCATCTGAGGCCGGATTTGAACCCAGGTCCTCCTGACTTCAGGGCCAGCACTCTATCCACTGCACCACCTAGCTGCCCTGAGTACTTACTCCTAATACAATACAACTCACAAGTCCCCACTGCTGTGTATCCCTTTAACATTCAGCTAATGGACACAGTTAGCTTTCAGCAACGGCATTTACTAGGAAGGCAGAGTGAAAACAGTAGCTATAAAACATCCCCCCCACAAACTCACAAATATACACATGTCCACAGTGACTGTTTCTGTATTTCATCTAGCATTTATATCCCCACCAGTGTGTATAGTGCCTGGCACATAATAGCTACTTAATAAATGTTTATTGACTAACTGGACTCCCAACTTCTGGCACTGCAGGATCTTGCAATTCTTTTTCTTTCTGTAGAGGTCTCATGAAGCCCCTTGCTTAGCTAGATTTCTAGGATCCCTCTCTGCAATTCAGCTGCAATGGCTACCTCTCTCAAGTCAACAGAAAACTCTCTTCTCTGCTGTCAGGGCTCCCAGGAGTTCTATGAGCTCAAGTGACTCTCTGTACCCACATCTAGAATGATGCATGGTGATAGAGGAATAACCTCTTCTTGAAAATGGAAATTAGAAGTCAAATATCCCTTTTATTCCAAAATAAAGTATTAAAATTTTCATAACTTTCATTTAAATTTTGTCAGAACTAATATTTTATTTATATTCCAATATACTGTTTAATATAGTGCTGAACACATGATAAACACACTGTCAATGGATGAGCAATTTCTTTATTCTTTAATAAGTCGAATAAACTATGATACAGTTTGTTTGTCTTGACTCATTTTTACTATTTGCTTTGTCTGAGATCGTGATTTGGATTCCTGGTCTTTTTTTTTTTTTAATTAGAGTGAAGCATAATAATAAACTTTGTTCCAGCCACTTAAAAAATAAAGTTCCATAAACCAATAGGGAAAAAAGACAAAGAGTAGAGGAAAATATTTCAAAATACAGTCAGAAATGGAGGTTGAAACCACAGAGTAGAGTGCCTAGAACTCGGGACTGAGGAGTTTGTATTTTATTCTAAAGGCAAATTCTGGAAGGTGTTTGAGCAGAGTGGTGACATGGACAAACTTGTGCCTTAGAAGTTTATTTTTTCAGCTGTGTTTAAAGATAGACCAGTGTGAGGAAAGACTAGAAACCGGAAGGCCAATTAAGAAACTGTTACAATAGTCCATGAGAGAATTGGGAAGGACATGAACTTGGGTGGTGACATGAAATGGAGACAAATTTAGAGATGTGGTGGGGGCAAAATGGACAGAATTGGCAGCTGACTGGATGTAGGGAATGAGGCTTAAGAGAAGTCTTAACACTTAGATTTCTATAGAGTGACTAGGAGGCTGGTAGTGCCATCAGTAGAAATAGGGAAGCACGGAGGGATAAATTTTGGTAAACTAGTTTCCATTCACTAGGAAGTGTCCAGAAGTTTTTTTTTTTTTTTTGTGAGAGGGCATGGCAGTGGAGGGGGAAGGGAGGGAACTATGAATGTTTCCTGAAAGGAAATAAGAGGTAGCCGGTTCCACCCAAAGAATCAGCACAAAGACAGTTTTGATTCCCCAAGTTCACTTTCTGAGGGGAAGAGAGAAAGGAAGAGCTGTGGACTTGGGGGACAGAACCACCAAATCCTATCTATGGACCAGGATGCCTGGACCTATCACTTCTGTTCTCAGAAACAGGAAATCAGCAAAGGTAATAAAAACAACTGAGCAGGGCGGTGGTGCCTGCACTCACAGGGCCACATCCCCCATCCCCAAGTTACCCTGCCTTTTCCCTTTCTTTGACTGTTTCTTGTCTTCTCAGGAGTGAGAACCTTTCCTCCTGCTACAGGGCAAGGGTCCTTCCATTAACTCTCTGTCTTTGAGTCTGTGATTCCTCATAGGTTGGAGAGAAAGACGGGCAATGAACCCAGATGTTGGACCAACAGATCCTCTTTCCTCAGGACCCTTAACAATCGAGTTCTAGATGATACTGGCCTACCTTCTCTCACAGCTCTTGTTCTCCTCCCCACCCAGACCCTTGCTCTGCTTTAATCCCTCTCTAATTCCTTTTTCATCCCTCACCACTTTTGTTCTGCTATTGACTCCCCTGTCTGGATTCTGAGCTCTTCAATGGCAAGGACAACATATCCTTGGGATCTCCCCACCACTGTTCAGCACAGGACTCTCCAAACTGCAGGGAGGTCAACAGAAGGTTGAAGAAAGGTATAGTGATCAGGACTTCACATCAGTTCTGATGGGAAAAGGGAAAGGATGCAGTACTTTTTGAGAATTCTAGAGACAGGGGAGGGTGGTCAACAAGGGCTTTATTTCATACTAATTCCCACTAATTCCTAGAGTCAGTCAATAAACATAAAGCACCTACTATGTGTTAAGTGCTGGGGATTCATAGAAAGGAAAAGGACAGTTCCTGCTGTCAAGGAAGTTTGTCCTCACTAATAAGGATGACTACACACACACTATATACAAACAAGATAGATATAAAATAAACTGGAAATAATCATTCCAGCCAAGTTTCCTTATTTGCCATCTGGTCCACACATCCTGAGATTTCCTGCTAGTATGCCTTTGTTCCCTATGCCTTGGAATTCCTTCACCCACTTCCTCCAATTTTTGAATTTATTCCTTCAAGTTCAACTCAAAGGCCACTTCTTCCATGAAGCCTTCGATGATCTCCCCAAGGAGAAATGACCTTTTCTCCCTTGGAACTTGAATAGCATTTACATACTTTTACGTACTTGTAAGTATTTTTGTATTTTAGCTCCCTTGTATCAAGGATTCTTAGCCTGGAGCCCATGAATGTGGGGACCCTCGGCCCCAAAACCATGGGAATAGCAATGCTTCCAGTTCAGTGTCCTCAGACATCATCCTGGGAAGCAAGTCCTGTGGAGATGCCTCCTGGCAGGTGCTACAGCTACTGAAAGCCCCAGGGGGAAAAAAAAAGTTCTTGGCACCAAAGTTTTTGATGCTGTCAAATGTTTCAATGTCAGAAACTGGTATCATTAGTGGAAATGACATTAAAGAAGAGGCATTAACATGTGCACCTAAGAACCATGGGACTTTTCCATCTAACTGCTGAAACCTTCCATATGTGTTATTTTCCCCTTTAGAAATGTGACTTCCCTGAGCAGGGACTGTCTTACTTTTCTACTTGTATCATTTGTGCTTTGTGTACAGTGCTTAATAAATGCTTTACAAAAAAAAAAGCCTTATCATGTATTATTCTGAGGAATCCAAGCTCCACCAGACTGCCAAAGGGGTTCATTTCAGAAAGAAAGTTAAAATCCTCTGCCCGTCTATGTGATCCATGAGGAGGGGCAGGGGCCCTTCCTTATCTGTGCCTAGCACAGCATACTGCAGGTATACTCACAGAATCTCAGAGTTAGAAGGGAATTTAGAGATCATCTAGGTCAGCCCATAGCAGAAAATGAATCCCTAGCCTCTGTGGGAAGACTTCCAGAAAGGGGAAATCCATGACTTCCGGAGGTTGTCCATTCTACTTGGGGATAGCTTTAATTAGGAAGGTTTATTTTGACATCAATCCTCTCTTTAATTTACAGCCATCACCCCTAGTTCTGACTTCTGGAGTCAAACGGAATATCTTTATCACCTCTTCATCTCCTTTTTTTTTTTTTGGCTAGGCAGTGAGGTTAAGTGACTTGCCCAGGGTCACACAGCTGGTAAGTGTTATGTGTCTAAGGTAAGATTTGAACTCAGGCCCTCCTGAATCCAGGGCCGGTGCTCTACTCACTGCGCCACCTAGCTGCCCCCTTGTATCCCCTCTTCTAAGCGATGGCAAATAAGTTAGCTGAGTTTCACTAGTGGAAGAACTGTCTTCTCCAAGTTGATCATCTCCAGTTCCTTCTTACATAGCATGAACACGTGGCCCTTCACCACCCTGGTTGTCCTCCTCTGGATGGTCTCTATATGACCAACCCCCTTCCAGATGCTATCTGACCAAATGGAGTCCAGCAGGGTTGCCATCTCCCCACTCCTGGACACTGTGCCTTTCCCAAGAATGCATTAACTTCCTTAAGTGTTACCAAATTGTTCTCATATTAGGCCTGCAATCGACATAGCAGGCTCTTAATAAATCAAACTGCATACTTGAATTGACCTATGCAATATACTTCCCTTTCTCTTTCAACACACATAAACATGTATCCTGAAGTGACAAAGTTGAGAAGGCATGCCTGGGTACTGAAGAATAAGAATTTAGGGGATGGGAAATAAGGGAAAGAAGACCCAGAAATCAGGATGTTTAATAATATTTCAGGAAAGAGGTACTGCTGCCCCTTGACAGAGGTAGCTTTCTGGTTTCCTCCTCTCCCCCTCAACTCATATAGGAAGTTACCTCATATGGGACAGGATGCAGGTGGCTCCGGAGCTTTATGAGATCACAAGCAATGAGCCGGAAGGGGCTACCGTTGTTAGTTCGGAGAGTGTAAGCCAAAATTCACCCAAGCACAGGCTCCCCACCCCTGATCCAACCAAGAAACCAACAAACACCAAATGACATCGATGTTTCTTTATTCCAAGGCTCGAACAATATGCCAGCTTAGATCTCCACTCATTGATCTATCTTCCATTCACTTTCCCTACTCCTTCATTCTCCCTCTAAATACCACTTCTAGTCTCTCACATCTCTCCTCTTTCTATCTCCACTTGGGCATAGGGAAAGAAGGGCCACTGAACTTAAGCCCTAGCCCCCACCACATTCAGTTGCCCAACTACAATGGGTGTACTTCTCCCACAGCACCACAATTAACCTATAGGGGAATATCAGTCTATCCATGGCACAGCTTTGCTGTAAGATGTTTAACTGTAATAGGCCTTCTCTACCTTGAAAGAAATTGATTTTATTCCCAACCCTTTTTTTTTTCAAGTAGCAGATCAAAGTACAGGCTCATTTGGCCCCAGCTTGTGAAACCAACATGAGTTGTAAATGTCTTCTCTAATTCTGGGCCCAGACACACAAAAGTCTACTTTTCTGTCCAACAGTCACAGGCTGTCCTTTTGGAAGCCCTTAACTTCAACTCAGAAATTACGATCAGTCCCTTAAATGCTCAATCATAAGAAAAATCTTCAGTTCCATGAAGCCCAGAGTATCTCTCTCCTCTGCCCACATCTTCTCTTTATAGCCTCAGGTTCTGATGCCTTTTGTGGTTCATAAATCCCCCCCCCAAAAAAAAATGACATTCCAGAACAGTTTCTAAGTTTAAAAGAAAAACCCAACAACAAGAAGAATATTAAACAGCCCCCAAGACTTCTTGGGCAAAAGGAGAGTTTTCTAGTTACAGCAGGAGACCAATGAGGCAATATCCAGAATCAAGGGGGAAAAAATGGTCATTCACTTCTCTGGCAGAGAAAACACTAAAGGAAAGAGGTCATAGCCCCAAACAGACTCTTAGGTGTCACCTCAGCCACCCCTGAGTCCTTGTCATTCCAGAAGACAACATAGAGAACTGGAAAATGTCACAGTTGGAGTTCCAGCAGCCCAGCAGATAAGCAGGCTGAACTCTAGGTAGCAAGGAATTCTAGATTCCTTTCTAGAGCCAACGTGAAGGTTCCCAGTTTTTGTACAACCAGAGCTAATTTTTAAAAAGTCAGGTTAGGTTCCAGACCCAACTCTACAGGATAAGAAAAAAACTTATAATTTTATATTCAAAATCATCATGAAGGATCCAGCCCCCCTCTTCTAGGTGATTAAGTATGGGCCAATCAGATTTCTAGAGGTTACCAGCCCCCACTTTGCAGTAATACAGAGCCCCAAAACTTCTTAAAGAGCCACAGTGAAGGGTTTATTTTCTCTACATCTTGATTACCCAAAGGGTCAGACTGTTCTACAAGAACAGAGAGAAACCTTGATCCAAGACCCATTACTTTCGAGAATGGCTTGGTTTGGCTTCATTACCCTCACAGGGTTCCTAAATAGGTTTTTTAAAAAGTTTCTTTAGGTATAATGGCTGCAATATAAGAATTTATATGAAATATTCAAGCTTTGGTATAGAGGGGGTCCCCAGGCTTGACTCTGCCAGCAGAGTTGTGACCTCACCTTACTGTGGATCACTACTAGCCACATAATTCCCTAATGGGGGTAGGGGAGGAATGAGGAAATTGGGAATTCCCTGCAATGAAAAACCTCAACCCCACACAGTAACTCCAATAAATTATATTTACAGAAGAACTGAAATTACTGAAATTGAGTTCTGCTCCCTGTCAGACAACCTAACAATTCTTAGGAAACTAGGCAAAAATCAGATAGGGAAGAGATTTTGACCAGCAAAATGGAAACAGATCTAGTAGATCTGCTACCCCTGCTCTCCCCAGGGTGAAAAACTAGACTAATATCAGCTCTGCAACCAGAAAAGGGTAAGGGTAAGCTGGGCCACAACCTGACCCTCAACAAGGGGCCCTCAGAACGTGGTAATGGACTTTGGTGTTGGTGGCAGCACCATGTTTCTGTCGAAGATGCAGGCGCAGCTGACTCTTGTGGCGGAAATGCAGGTTGCAGGCCTCACACTGATGGGTGAGAAGGGAGAGTCAGAATGGGAACATGCCACAATCTCATGCAAATATTGTCACAGCTTGTAGTCAAACCCACCATTTTCCCTTTTAAACTCTACAATAAATGAATTTTACTTGGAGTGCTGATCCCAGACCATCAGTTTTACTCCCTAATTGGTTCCTGAATGACGTTATTTTCTATTTACCCTCCCTACACCCCCCTCAAGTGGACCAAAAAAGTGAGTGGTTTAGCTCCACGTCTTGATTCCCACACCCCACCTAACAACCATTACCTATTGCTCCCACACCTCACTTTCAGAATTCTCCAACCTACAAGTCCCCTATTCTGCTCCCAGCTCATCTATCACCCCCATATACTCAGCGAGCTGAGCTCTCAGAGCACTAGTGAGCAGATTTTCTCCTACAGAGCTTGGCTCTTCCCCAACCCCTAATACCCACGTGATACGGTTTCTCCCCAGTATGGATGCGGACGTGGCTCTTCAGTGTCTGCAGGTGGCGAAAGCGAGTTCCACAGGTGGAACAAGGATAGGGCTTCTCCCCAGTGTGAATCAGCACGTGTGCACGGAGGTGTGCCACCTGTGGGCGCAAGAGCATTGGGGCTTTGTCATAATTCCAACTCACTTCCCACCTTCCATCCTCTCCCAACCTCTTCTTCATTCGGACCCTCCACATAGTGAACCAAGCGTTAGTCGATTTGGGGCCTTTGAATGAGCCTACTCAGAGCGTGCCAGCTAAGTGCAGCCATCCCAGGGTTGAAATCTTGGATCATTTTAGCATTCTTACTTTAGAACTCTCCCAACCTTCCTCTCCGCCACCCTGGTACCTGCACGAAGCGAGAGCCACAAGTCTCGCATTTGTAAGGCTTCTCTCCGGAATGGATGCGGCTGTGCGTTTTGAGATTGGCAGGTCGGTTAAAACGCGCCCCGCAGATAGTGCAGTGATAAGGCTTCTCGCCTGAGAAAAGGAGGAAAGAGGAAATCGGAGCTCTAGGTTCGACCACAGCGGGATGGGCCGGGGCTCTCTCTCCCACCCCCTAGATCTCTCTTCCCTCCTTTTGCTCTGTATACCTGTGTGCACTGTGCGGTGACTGGCTAGGTTGCCCTTGTAGCGGAAAGCACATCGGCAGAGCTGACACTTGTAGGGTTTGTCTTCGTTTCCCGGACTGAGGGGGGCCAGTGCCCGCGACCCCACCTCTGCCGGGCAGCCAGTCCCTCCCTCACAGTCCTGGCAGCTGAAGAAATTATTCCCTGGGAAGGGAATGGTAAGAGTAACGGTTTTTAGGGTACTCTCTCTTTTCTTACTCCTCTGCTTCCCCAGTTGGAAGGAAGTTGGTGGTTGATTTCTGTGTCTGAGCCTCGCCCTCTCGGTCCCTGGCTCAGTCCCTAGCTGATCTCACTTCTCTTGTGACAGCCGGTAGAAAACGCCTGACCCTAGTTCTGTGATTGCCTCGAAGCACAGAAACTTGGTGCTCTGAATTCTGTTGGGATACCGGAGCAAGGAGGAGGGCTCTCACCTGGTCGGGGACGGGACGCTTCAGAAGACGATCCGAGGTTTCTCTGGCTGGGGTGCGTGAGCAGCAAGGCGGGATCAAGCGACGGGGAGAGCCTGGTGGGGAGGGGCGAGCAAAAGCTCTCCTAAGAAAAAAAGCTACACCTCTCATTCCCTTAGGAGAAGCTATGCTTGATCTAGGGCTGGTCTAGACTAGAAGTATGCTTGCAGCTCCCCTCTAGTATTTGGGGGTGTGCTCCCCTGGGTTAGTGATTGGACTTCTTCATCCTACCTTCATACTAAAGCCATACCCGAAAATGTTCAGTAGATAACCTCCTCCTAGAGCCTCGTAGGACCACGCCCCTCCGAATACCTCTTGGTTCCACCTCCCTGAGGCCTCTCCCCTTACCCACACCTCCCCCAACCCTCAGAGTTCCCAAGCCCCCCCCCCCCGAACCTGCTCCCAGTTCCCGAACAGGAACCCTCCTCCCCGCTGCTACTAGAGGCCTCCTCGCCATTGACGGGCTTTGCTGATGCAGCTGGTTCGGCAGCAGCGTCAGACTTCCCAGCTTGGGCCGTCTTGGAGTTGAGAATGATGAACTTGTATTTCTTCCAGTTGCAAGCTACAGGTTCAAGACTACGTGGGCTGTCTGGGCTGGGAGGACCATGGAAGCAGCTACGAGACTCTGTTGGGGGGTCCGGGTGCCCCTCAAATCGGTGAGGGCTACCTTCTGGAGGGGCTGCTGGCATAAGAGGAGCCTGTGATTCTGCATCAAGTGGTTGGAGGGAGATACCTATGGGCTCATAGCTGAAAAATGAAAGAGTTAGGATTATAAGACTTAGGAGGTGGCCTTAAAGATCCTCTGGTTCAATTCCTTCAATTTACAGATGAGATAAAATGAGGCCTAGCGAAGTTAAGTGATAGTCCTAAAGCAAGGTCTGACCACGTCACTCCCCTGCTGAATGATCTCCAATGGCTTCTTTATTACCCATAAGATCACATACAAGCTCCTCTGTTTGGCATTTAAAGTCTTTCACAATCTGGCTCCAACCTACCTTGCCAGTCTTATTATACATCACTTCTCCTTCCTGTTCTCCACTCTCCAGCCAAACCGGCCTTGTTCATGAACAACATTCTGTCTCATCTTGTGTTGTACATTATGCCTAGAGTACAGGCAGTACACTGCTCTTAGCACACTTCCTCCTTTCCTTATCTCTGAGAATCTCTAGTTTCCTTCAAGTTCAGACCAAGTACCACCTTCAACAGGATGCCTTTCCTGATACTACCTACTCCCAATTACTCTAAATTTTCTGTGTGTAGGTATTTTTTCCTGGCACTTAGCAAATGCATAATAAATACTTGTTGGTTGATTGCCCTAAGTTACTCTAAGAAGTGGGAGAGACAGACTAACCAATTTTGACCAAACTTCAAATCCGACCCTCCAAGTCAGGCTACTTGAATGGACAACTTACTTTTTGATTAAGAAGAAACTAATTTAGGGGCAGCTAGGTGGCGCAGTGGATAGAGCAGCGGCCCTAAATTCAGGAGCTTGTGTGACCCTGGGCAAATCACTAAACCCTATTGCCTAGCCAAAAAAAAAAAAACTAATTTAGATTCTTTCATGGCAAACAAGAACTAATAGACTCCTGCTATCAGGCCAATGGGGATTTTTACAGAAAAGAAAACTGAGGCTTGGAGAGGTACACTGATTTGTTTCCAAGGTGTTGGAACCTCCAACTTTTTCCAGACCTCTCCACTTCTTAAATATTCCCCAGCCTGAGATTGCTCCCTCTTTCTCAACTCCTTTGATTGACCTCCGTTGCAAGAATCCAGTCTTACTCGACTGCCATCTGTCCTGTTCCCTCCAAGCCCCTCCTCACCTTGCCTGGATAAATCGGTGACAGGCCTCTACCACGTGGTCCATCTGCAGATAGGTGGCTGCCGCCAGGACCGCTGGGGCCGTGGCCGGTGAAAGGAGTAGGCGTGAAGTGTACATAAAATCCAAAAGAGGGGCAAAGCCACCAGCTTCAGGGCCCCCAGGTAAGGATAGTAGGTCCACTCCCACCCCTGCCCGACCACGGAAAATCGAATAGAAGAAGCCACTGCGGGCCAAAGAAAGGGGAGATGAGTCATATTTCTCCCTTGGGCCAAAACAACCTCGAAATCGAGATTGCCGGTATTTGTCTCGAAGGCAGTTTGGTTTCCAGACTCGGCCAAAACAAAAACTACCCTCTGCTACGTATACCCTGACATCCAGACATTGCACTCTGCCTTTAGGCAATATTTTGCTCCTCCCAAGTAAGTCTAACTTTTCTACTGGCCGCATTCCCCAATCCAGCAAAGCTTTCTCCAAATCCTCACACCTTGTCTAATTTGCCCTTTCCCCACTTCCACTTTTCTAGGACTTCTCCCAGTCAGGTCCCTCCCCTGATCGAAGAGAACATTCCTCCCCACCTCTCCACAAAGCCGCCCCTTCGAACCTGCAGGCGATCAAGACCGCCTTGTGAGCCCGGAGGGCCCGACCTCCCACTAGCAACGTGACATCTGTGAGGATCCCACGCAGGCGTAACTCGTTTAGGTTCCAGAGCACGTCTGATGCATGGCGTGTGAATTCTCGGACATAGCCCAGATTCCCCACTGCGGCCGCGGCTGAGCTCATGGCGAAGGTGGCCTTCGAGTGAATGAGAAGTGGGAATAAAAGACCTAGGATGTTTGTCCGTTCCTCAGGATTTTGAATAGCCAAACTCCTAACCCGGGCACGCCTTGTTCCCCTGGGATGGCCTCCCTCCCCAGCCTCTTCTCAAGACACAGGATTCCTGAACGCTAGCCTCTGCGCCCCCAATCCCTGCAGACTTCATATAGCTTAAGTGCTGGAAGTCAAGGGTCCTTCTCCCCCATCTCCCATCTATCGAAGTTCGGCTCTTCCCAAGTCCTGGTCCATCCTGCATCAGAACCCAAATTCTCTATCCCATGCAGGGGAAGAGAATTCAAAAACCCCGCTTTTGGAAGACTCTAGACCCAGCCTTATGATATTCTACACTTAGAGGAGATAGTGAAGGGGTATGGGTTAATGACATTCTAAAAGCTTAGACTTGGGATTCGCTCTAAACCAGGCAGTTTGTTCCTCCCTTCTTCTCCACCTACCCTACTGTATTTCCCAGGATCCTGCTCTTTGCCCAAATCCATCCAGATACCCAGGCCTCTCAAATTCCTAGCCTATCTTCTTCCCCCACCCCCTACCCCCACCCATCCCCAAGTTCTGCTAGTCTCACTCCCTCCTAGACATTATGCTTAATTCCCGGGGATCCCTGTTTTTCTAGCCCAACTTGCCCCTACTGAGGGTCCCTGGAGTGCAGATTCCCCTCTGGCTCTCACCCCTGTCCGGCAGGGGCTTCGGTTTGTTCTCTTGCTGGGATGGGGCGGGGTATCACTCCCAGTCCTGGCTCCTTTATCCCGGCGGGATGTTGGGGGCGGGAGAACTGGGAGGTGTGGGGGGGAAGTATTTGGGTTAGTATCCTTCCTGCCTCCCTAGATGGTGGAGACTGGGGGTGGGACCTTGGAAACGGGGGCAGTGGCATGTGAAAAGTGTGATCCTGCTGGGCCCAAGAGGAGCGACGTTAAAGGTTAATATGGACTGGTATTTAGGGTTAGAGAGGTCTGAGGTATCGAAGTGCCTCTTTGAAAGACGGAAAAGAACAGTTAAAATTTCTAGGAGAACTGGGGCGGGGAGGCCTTTGGGGACCTATTAGGAGCTTGGGTAGGCAAACAGAGGGAGGGAAGTGGGGTATAGCCAGCTAAAAGTGTCCTCCTGGCAGGGAGAAGAAAATTCCGACTGGAGTCAAACATCCCAACCCGGGAGGTGGAAAAAAGGGTTGTTGAGAACAGGAGAAGGTTATGTTGATGCAGTCTAAGAGTGCCTAGCAGGAAGGTTGGCCTCAACCCTAAACCCTTCGTGGCTGCCACGTAGCTGCAGAAAATGTTCATGGCCCGGCCTCCCGGGGGAAACGGGGAAAGAGAGTCCGGGAGGGGAGCCCTGATAGGGAGAGGGAGTGAAGGGAGGGGCGGATGTGATTTCTAGTGTATTTCCTGCCATTGTACTGGGACAGGACGGACTGTCCAGCTGCTTCCCCTAGAGGGGGTGGGGAAACCCCCCACGCCGGGGTGGAAGTCTGCAGAGAAACGGAGGGAACACTGGCATCTCTCCGACTCGAAGCTCTTGACTTTTCCCCTCCTGCCAGGCTCCACTCTCTTCAAGGATAATGACAATCGTTTATATTTATACATCAATTTAATTGCAAAGCTCATAAAGAGCTTTATGTACATTATCTTACTTGATACTAACAACTCTGTGAGTTAAGCTATTAGCTATTATTAGATAATAATATATAAATAGCCATTATTCTCAGTCTTATACAGGTGAGACAATTTAAGCTCAGAGAGGTTAACAAACTTGCCTATGGTCACATGTCGGAGGCAGGACTTGAACGAAGGTCCCTCCTGACTTCGAATCTAGTACATGCCCATTTAAACGAGGGCTCTCTCACGTCCCTACCCTACCCCTCGCTCCTTTTCTGGGACCCAGGATCCTAGCTTGCCAAGATCAAGGTAGAGGGGTTTGTCTTTGGTCCAGTGAGAAGTCTCTGCCCCGTAGCACATGATTACATCCACAAGGTGGCAGCATTGCGCCGTCCCAGCCACGTCCAGGAGGCGACAGGACCTTAAAGGGAGTCTCGGAGCCCTTGGCAAGGATTAAATCTGGAAAGGAACATGGCCCAGTCTTTTCCTTAGTCCCCAGCTGTACCCCATCGTCCCACCGTTTCACCAGCAGAGATGGGGATTGGAACCTCTTTAGGGGGGGAGGGGAGAGAATGTGTCTCTTGATTATCCCCAATTTATGCCATCCATATCTTTTTTGTACATAGCATAGTATCCCCCATAAGGCTTCTGGCTTCTTGAGAATTAGGACTATTTTCTACCTCCTTTGTATCACCAGGGCTTAAGCCCCACTCAGCACTTAGTAGGGGCTTAATACATTTGAGAGCTTGGGTTTCTTTCCTGACTTGGCAAGCTTGGGGCTACGTTGGCTGGAGGAGGAAGGTAGACCCAACAGGCTGGACAAGATGTTCAGAAGAGGTTTTTAGGTTTCTGGATATGTGTAGGAATCTCTTAGTAATTAGTCATACTAATTATCTATTATTCATTCCCTTAGAGAGCTTAAGTAAGCATCATTAATTTATAGTTTATGGCCTGATTTGAAAGTGGAGACTGGAAAATTGGAAAGACATAGTAAAGGATCCCAGAGTGGATCAGAGGGTCAGGAAGAAGGGGCAGGTGGGGAGTAGGTTCTATCCAAGTCGCTTTTCTACTCTTGGTGGGGAATAGTCACTGTCTGTCCTCTAGTTCTATGGGAAAACAAAACAGGGGTTCTGGTATCATTTGGAAGTTAACCATGATTGACTGGGAGCAGAAACAGGTTTTGCGAAGCCCCTTGGGTTTGAAAGAGATTTGGAACTCACCAAGGAGGAACACAAGCCCAGACTAGAGGCTTACTCTCTCTGATTTAGGGCAAGAAGGCATGTTTGGAGGCTGTTACCAAGTATTTCAGAATGTTGGTGGGTTCCAGGAACAGGAGCTTAAGGCCTGGGAATTGGGAATATGCTGAGAATTTAAGATGAGGGAGGCAATTTGGGTGTGAAGCAGTTAACTGGGTTCATATTTACATAGTTTGAGGGAGGATATGGGGAAAGTATCAGAATCCAGCAATCAGTTTTTAGGGTTTAATTTTGGGAGTACTTTATGGTGGGGGAGAGGTTCCAGGGACTGAGAGTATGGGTTTAAGGGCTCTTGTCAAATTTTGGGGTGCTGATTTAGGGGCATTTTTTTCAGTTAATTATGGGATACATGTGTCTGAGGGACTCAAATTATTGGTAGATCCTACTAACAAAGAGCCACTGTAGCTGTGGGGTTCAGAAGCCAAAGATGGTTTCTAGGGCAGTATAGTATGGGTGGGGATTTGAAATTTGATGCCTGAACAAGAACTACCAACCCCCCCCCACCCCACCCCCCATACCAGGTTGGTAATCCGTTGGGATTACCAGAAGCGAACAGGAAATTGGAGGGAGTTAGATGTGGAAGGATAGGTTCCCAAAGAGAACAAGATCTGGGGGAGGGGGGGAACTAAGGGACCCAAGCATTCTTTCTGTCTCTCCTTCCCCCGTACCCCAATCCCCAAAAAAACCTTATACCAAAAACAAAACAAAACAAAAAGCCCAAAAACAACAACAACAAAAAAAAACCTGGCTGTACAACTGCAATGGCAGATTCCAGTCCTCCAAGCTTCTTTAAACCACCACAGGGACCCAGCCGGGGGGGGGGAGGGGAGGGGGGAACCGGGCTTCTCAGCTTCCCAGGGGGTAGGGGGAATGAACTGGGTCCCTTGTTCCCCAGGTCCTTCAGAAGGACCCTTGACCAGGGACCCAGGTGTCAGGCATCTCAGCCTTGGAGGGGAAGGGGGGCGGGCTGGGGCACCCGGGAGGAGGAGGGAGAGAGTGACTTCCAAAATTGGCATCAGGACAGAGCAGGGCGGGCGGGAGGCAAGCAAAAGGAAGAATTTTCCTGGAGAAACGGGGGTACCTGAGTGTCCCAGATTTGGGGAGCTGGTCAAGGGTGGTCCCCCCTCGACCCTCAATTTTTTTTGGATTTTTTGAGGAGCCCTGGACCCCTCTAGGGTGGGTGAGGAATGTAGTGTTGGTGTAATCTGACTTGGGCATTTCTGTTGCCTCTCCCACCCAAGTTGGAGACGGATGGATTGGGAGGGGGGTAGGGTGTCCCCAATTCTAACTTGGAGTGAGGAAACCCCACTCCTAAGCCCTCTTAGGGGGGGTTCCTCCCATCTTAAGGCACTCCCCATTCCTTAAGTCAGCCAGGAGAAAGAGAAGGCCGAAGATACGACTTGGGGTGTCTCCTCTCTCCTGGGCCCCTAACTTGGGGAATATGCTTCCAAATCGGCTCCCTTCAGAAATGAGGGGGGACCAGGAACCAGGGGGGAATAGCTGAGGTAAGTGGAGAGGGGCAGGGAGGTATCCCCTGTTTGGGGGCAAAATGGGGGAAGTTGGGGGGAATGGGTGGAGTTGGGGTATGGACTTTGAAGATAGGGTGACAGGTTGAGGTTACTTCTTGAACCCCAAAATTCATAGCACACATCACCTCAAAGCCGAAAGTGGAGACCAAAGGATTCTTACACCTCCTGGCCTCTTCCATTGGCCTCCATCTCTAATTTTTAAGTAATTCTCCGGATGATTAAAAATTAGGATTTCTTAAGGGGTTCTTAGGTTTGAGGGGTAATATAGGTGAAAACAAGAGCTCTGGAGTGTTGAGGGTGGACAGGTTTAGGAGCGGGTGCCTGAATTCCTCCAAAACCTGAAAAACTGTTTACACCATCTTTGTTCTTTTTGGTTTCTGGGATTTTTTTTTTAAGGAAATTGAGAAGGGGGTTAGTTTTTTTTTTTTAATATATATCTGCAAAGTACTTTTTATTTTTCTGAACAATGATTTTTTGCTCTTGGCTTTGGATTTATGTATGTAACAGATCCACATATAGATTAAAAAAAAGATTGCATCCCCATTACCTCTAGTGTCCTAGACAAGATGGGAGGACGTGGGAGGACAGAGGACGTGTCAGGAGGAAGGGCCTGGAGGTTGGGGAGGAGCATGGGTGAGGAAAAGGGGGGAATGTTTGTATATTCAACGTGGCTTCCCCTTGGGGATTTAAGCCTGGTTGATGGGACCAATATGAGGGTGAGTATGTAGAAAAGGACACATGGGTCCCTAACAGGACCCATAATGGAGCTGAGGAACAGGGATAGAGGTAGGTGGGAATGCCAAAAGTAGCTTCTCTCTAGGCTTTTGCCTACTTGCACCCCCCACCCCTCCAAACTCCTGTCCTTCCCTCCACTCCCTCAAACATTTTGCGACAGGCCAGGGCCCCATGTAGTTTTCTGACCTCAAATCCCCAACTGAGACCCAGCCCCATCCATATCTAGAACTGGCTTTCACCACCTGTCAGCCTTTCTCTGGCTGATTTTTTTAATTATTTATCTACCTTTGGAGGATGTGGGTAGATAACTTTGTGTGTGTGTAGAAGCGTTAAAGGTAGGGACTGAGTAAGCTGGGGTTGTCCGTTCCCCTCCCCCCATTCCAATTGGCCACTGCCTCATACATACCACCTCATTCTACCTAACAAAGTCTTGGGCTGGCTTCTCTGGGAAGGGAAGATGGTCCCATCTATTCTTTGTCAGATTCTGAGAATTTCATCTACCTATCTGCATCCTTACCTCCCTCCCTCCCATTGCCACTGCATCTCCTAAGCTCTTTCCAACAAGCCAGGTTCCCGTTTTTTTCCATTGACCAGCCTTATGTTTTTAGCTTTTCCCTGCATCTACTTGTCTGCTACCCTTTTGTTTCTCCACAGCACCCTACCCCAATTCCCATCCTGCCTCCGCCCCAGCAGCACACTGTGGTTTGTTCAGTGCTGTGGCCGAGTCCAAACCACACTGTGGTGTTAGAGCGAGGGTAGGGAAGGCATCGAAACCACCAGAGCCTGGACCCTGGAGCAGGATACCTTGGACACGCTGGAGACCCTGGGGGATGTATGACAAACAGAATGGAGAGACTCCATAAAAACATAGGGGTTCTTTACCAGGGAACATCCTAGGGGTCACTTTTAGGGAGATTTTGAACACACAGAGTACCCCAACATGAATTATGGGAGAAATCCTAAGCATTCAGGGAAAAGTCCTACTCCAACTAACAAAGTCTTCTGTCGGCAACTTTGTTCTCCACCCCTCCTCCTACCACCACCTAGGCCCCCCCTGGCTTTAGCAGCACAGAAATATTGGCACCTGAGGGAAAGCCATGCCAGTATTGAGAGTGCTGCTCCAGACAGGGTGGCTAGAGCAGCTGTGGGGAGAAGACCCTTTCATCTCTGAACGCTGAAGGAAGAACCCCTTGTTCTCTGCTCTGATGAAATAGAGGCAAAGCCACCAAATTAAGAGTGAAGTTTTTATTTGATTTTGTAAAAAAAAGTCCATTGTGGGCAGAGGGCATGTGTTCACACAGAGTCTACAGGGCAGATATTTATTTTCCTCCAGCTTTCCTTTCTCCAGCTCTCCACTCAGGTCCACAAAAAAAACGGTCAGGGGTCAGAAAAGGGAAGGTCATCGGGAGAGCAAAGGAGGATCAGCAGAGGTCATGAGAAGTCCAGAGTCTAGTTTCAGGCTGTCTAGAACAGGAAATGAAATGAGGAGAGACAAAGAAAGCCCTCAACCCCACCCTCCTAGGAAATGCCTACCTGTCATAAAACGTACAGAACATCTGATTTCATTTGAGAGAGGAGAAAGGAAGTGACCTGACCAACGAAGCCCCTACTCAAGCAGTCAAGTGACTCCACTCCACTCCTTTTTTATTATACCATATTTTCCCCACCCCCAACAAAGTTCCCTGTTCCCCGGGCATAAGAACCTTCTCTCCCAAATCCCAACCCTACACTAGTGTGGGAAGGGTAAGGACTCCTACCCTGGTCGAAGTTGAGTTTCTTGGCTGGGGGTGCCTCCCCCAGCCCCTCAATGTCCACTAGGTCACTGTTGGCATCTGAGTCATTCAGGGCGCTCAGCGTCACATCTGAGAGGGAGGCATCAACTAGGTCCCCCCCCCCCAATTTCCCCAGACCTTCCCAACCCCAGCTCCCCCTCCTCCCAGCTCCTCCTCTCACTCTTCCCCCACAGGTCGAGGGAGGAGACTGCTCCCTTTTGGTCTCATTTCCAAGTTTGCTCGTTTGGCCTCAGAGCTTAGCTTTCTCCTTAGCACTCCCCTATAAAAACCACTCCACGGCCCTCACCAGCCTTCTGCTTCTTCGGGGGAGGGCCCCCAGTTTCAGGGACACTAGACCCAGTGGGTGGGGGTACAGGTAGGGCAGGAACCAGGACACTAGATGCTCCCTTCTTGGGCCCCTTCTTGGGTGATTCGGTTGGAAGAGGGAGGCCAGAGTCTTCATATACCTTTCGTTTCACTGTAGACTTTATTTGAGCACTAAGGAGAGACAAGAGGATAAGGGAAAAGAGGGAAGGGTGTCAAAGGGATATCATGAAGAAGAGGGTACATGGGGAATGAGAATCTGTGGTCTGGGAAACTCTAGCTCAGAAATCCCTAATCTTTTAGTAAGGAGAGATTACTTTTCACTTTTCCAAGTGTTTGGACTGCTTGGGGGGAAAAAGGCTAGATTTAGAAGTAAAATGTCTGAACAAAGTAAGAGAGGGGGCTTCATGCTTCTCTATTTGGGATGCCAGGAAACTCCTGAGTGGGAATCATTTGACTGGAGTGGATTGGGGGAGGGCAGGCAGGAGAGTATGGACACTGGCTTATAAAAATCGACCATAAATACCCATCTGCTGAGTAGGAATCCCACCCTAGGTAAACATAAGGAAACAAGCCCAAATACCCAATACAAAGAATCCCCTAAGTCTTCCTATAAGCAACTGGCCAGGAGGGTTCCTACAATAAGCATACTTTTTGTAAGCACCCTAGGAGATTCTAAGCAAACTACTTTCAGAAGTAACCTAGGAGACCCTACCAAAATATCTTAACAATCCCCACTTCAACTGTAGTAATCCTCATATTGTTTAATCCATTTCCTGGGGGCATTCTACCAAAATGACCAGAGACAGCAGGAAAGGTAGCACAAGGGGAGGAAGAAAGGGTGGGAAGATAAGCTGTCCACCTCCCCCCAAACCCCCCATTCCCTGTCTAACCACCCTCCCTCACACAGTCCGGTCCTTGATGACACAGCTGATGCGATTAAGATCGTCCCCAAATCGTTTCACGGCAGCCCTCAGCATCTCTATCTCGGTGTCTGTCCACTTGGCACTGTCAAGGAGGGGAGAGGGGGATGGGGAAGTGGAGTAGGGGAAGGAGGGGTGAAGTCACCCTACACACCACATGCTCTGGATTCTTAGTTCCAAAACCACTGAGCCCCTTTAGTCCTTCTCACAGAAACAATTTTAACTACCCTGCATAAACCCCCTGATCTGCCTCCCTTAACCCTAGGTATGAAAAACCTACTTCAATGTGATCTGGCCCCTAACATAAAAGAGCCTGCCTGAAATACTTAGGTAATACTTTGATATTGTACAGGACGGTAAAGCTTACAAAGCAGTTATACAAATTTCACTTGATTCTCATAGCGACCCAAAGACTTGTGCCTTTACCAGTGAGGGAACAGGCACAGAAACTTTAAACAATGTGCTCAAGGTCACATAGTTCGGTGGTCTTACAGAGACCATACACCTGTAAGCCAAGAGCTAACCCCGTAGTGAAGAGCAAGGGCACTCAAATTTGAGAACCAGGGGTCAGGGAATGGAGGCGGTGGAGAGTGTCTGTCCCTTCCCTCGCAACCTGTGCCAGATCCTCCCTCCTCCCTGGGTTGGGGCCAGTGGGATCCAGCTCAGCTCTTCTCCTCCCAATTCAAACATACCCGGCCGGGGAGGAGTCCGACACTGGATGCAGCTGCATAGTCAGTTCACCAAGCTTTGTGAAGGCAGCACCAGCAGCGGAGAAGATCTCCCCAACCTGGAGGATGGCAGGTGATGGATCCAACCACTAGAGGATTATGGGGTACAATGCCCAGGACACAGGCTCATACTCTGAGGGGCATTTTACTGGGGCATGGTTCTCCCGTGGGAGGAGTGTCATACCAGAAAACTCACCCCCACTCTAGGGGAAGCATTAAATAAGGGTCTCCATTCTTCCCCCAGCTCGAAAAGTGAAACAACCAGGGACACGCAACCTCCTTTGCCATTCCAGAGAAAGCACTATCCAGAGGGTCCCCAATTCTCCCTTCCCCTGGGATGGGGGGAGGAAGGTGCCACAACTCCGGGGTCTATCCTTCCCCTGGAATAGGTGGGAGAGAGCTAGGCTGGGGGGGGGGTAGGGAAGAAAGAAGCTTCCTTTCTCCAAGTCCGGTGAGAGGCGTTATCCTCCGGGCGAGGGGCGGGGGTCCTCCTGGCCTCCCTTTCCCGGGCTACCCTGGCTCTTTCGGTCTCGGGGCGGGGGGAGGAGCGCGCACCTTGGTGGAAGCTGACGTCATGGCCCTGGACGCCAGCTCCCGGGAACGCAGCTGCAGCAGCTGCCGCGCGAGCAAAGAACGGGAGCAGCCCAGCCAACGAACGGCCGCGGAAGTCCCGCCCCTCTGTTCAGCGAGCTGCTTCTCACCGGCCCCTGGAGTCCGCCGCGCTCGCGCTCCTCCCCCGCACCATCAGTCGGAGGGAACACTCAGTCCACGGGGCATGAAGGGAAGGCAGTGGGCACGGGAGCTCGTCCTTACTACCGGGCTTGGTAGGCGGAGCTCACTCGGCTTCCGGCGAGGCGCCGGGACACTTCCGCTTCTGGCTAGTCACCCTCCGGGATTGCTTTGTTTCCGCGCTCCACCTTCCTAGCCCCCAAAGCGCCGGGGGTTTCCTGCCCTCCTTCGCACTCTACAGGCGCCCCAGGAGTTAGAGAAAGAAGGGGCCACAAGCACAAACTCACACCGAGGCCGCAGAAAACACCTTCGCTTTATTGTTACTAGCAGAGACAGCCCAGGGGCTAGGAAGGGGAAGGTAGAGCCACCCCCGCACAACAGGGGTAAAGCAACCGAGCAAAATGGATAACTGAAGCCCTTCTCTTCCCCACCCCCCACCCATTCCCCAGAGGGCAGCCAGCAACACCCTCAGCGCCTAAGGTGAAAGAAATGGAGGGACCCCAAGAAGGAAGGGGAAGTTGAGAGAAGGGGATTTAAATAAGAGGCATGGGGTAAGGGGTTAGGGGGACCCCCAGATCCTTGAGAGTGAAATGGAATGTCCTAACGGACCATGTATTCTTTGCGCTTGTTGAGCCGGACTTGGCAGAATGAGAAGCCTCCAAGGAGAAGATAGAGGCCAGCAGCAATGAAGCAGTTGTAGCTCACTTGTTCATAAAGTTCATAGATTTTCTGAGGACCACTCCTGGAGGATGAAAGTAAGGGTGAAGACAGCTGCTTGGCCTCCCAAGTCCTCACTGTCCCCAGGGTACTTGAAGTCCAGCCCTCTCGGTTCTCTGCCAACTCTCCAAGCTCTGGGGGGGGCCTAAGTCTCCAGCTTCTGGCTCTAGGAAATCCCTCCCATTCCCTACAACTCACTCAGTAAAATCACTCTCAGTTAAAGGTACATCCTCAATTAGCACAGCAGAATGGACATTGAAGAAAATTCCAAGAAGGACCTGGGGAAAGAATATGTGGATAAGGGGTGGGTGAAACCAGAAATATAGGTTCCCGGCCACTCCACACGAATCAACCTTGACCTGCCCTTCTACCCTCTCGTTGCCATAATAACATCAAGCTCTCAGATCTGGCTGAACCTAGGGATGTGCTCAGACTGAACCAGAATCAGCCGCCTAATTCGGGATGTCACTCGGGTGAAACTGAGACCACCTTCCCTCCACCCACCCCCACCCCAACTCAAAAAGCCCCATCTAGAGTTCCAGCAACAGATCTCACCCACATCGCCCTTCTCTCTCACCAAGGGGGCGTCACTATCACGGGATGGACTTCCTCCTTTGCCTTTCTACCCCATTCTGGAGGGCCAGGGACGAATCAGGGGAAACTGTCCCCCAGATTTCTCCTTCATCTGATTCAGAATCTCGCTTTCCTTAATCAGCTCTTGTTCCTCAAGCTCCCCTAACCTCGACTTCATCCCATTAGACTGAGCTCCTTGAGAGCAGAGTCTGTGGTTTGCTTTTCTTGGTATCCCCAGCGCTTAGCAGTTGGCAGGCACATAGCAGATGTTTAATACTGTTGTCTGACTTCACCCCTTCCTCTCCTAGTTCCCCAAATTCTCATCCCCCTCCCTACCTTCCCTTTCTCCCCCCGAGTCAGCCCGCCCCCCCGCCCCGATTCCTCGAAAACGCTCTCAGGTCCCACCACAAAAGGATTTCAATCATTCACTGCCTCGATGCCACAGAATTTCCGCGCGCCCAGTCCTAGAGATTCTCCCAATTCTGTCTCGCCCTCCCTCCGCCTCCTCACCAACATGATCACCCCCCAGGCGCTGAGGACGATGCCGCAGGCGGCCAGCTTAGGCCCACAACACAAGAGGGAGGCCATGGCGATCCCAGGCCCGGACGGACAGTGCAGGAGCTGGAGCTGGAGCGGACCGCGGGTCTAAAGAAACCGAATCCTGGACCGAGGTAACCGAGCGAAGCCGGAATGGACGTGGGAGCTCCCCAGGAGTGAGGGCGGAGCGCGAGCCGGGAGGGATCGGAGCGGGGGGAAGGGGCGGGACCAGAGGGGGGTAGTAAGCAGATTTAGAGCGCCGGAGAACGGCTATTCCTAGGGATTGGGAGGGCAGGAGAAAACGTCGTAAAGAAAGAATGCGAGGATGAGATCTGCAGCACTTCCAGCTCCTACAAAGTCCTAATTTACTGGGTCCGGGGGGAAATATGAATCTGTTCCTCCTCTTTCCCCCCCCATGAATATGGTACGGTCGGAAGGAGGATGAAACAAGAAGGGGGGCCTTCACGTGACTGAACCACTTCAAAGTCACGTGATCCTGAAGGTGTGCCTACCGGCCTCTCCAGTCTAGCAAACAGTGAGTGGATACGTGGATTCGAGGCGCCTTTTTTGGATATTGGCCTAATTTCGCTTTATCACTTAATGAGAAAATGCAGGGGAAGGCCTTGCCTAAGTGTCGTGGAGGGGGATGTAGCCTGGCGGTGCATCTTATGAGGGGAGGGGAATGAGACTCATTTCCACCTTTGGCTTTGGAAGGGATATAGCGTAAGGCCTGGTTGTCCTATGGGGATGATAACCTATGTTTTCAGGTCTGCCAAGTAGGCCTTCTGAAATTTCATTGCGAGGGCTGGGGTGGGGTGGGGGGGGTAGGGAGGAGTGTTGGTGGTGTAGGAAGAACCAGGGATTGAGATATCCAGAGGGAAAGATCCTTTGTTCCTTCTTTTTCGTTAACTGGAACTAGGAAGAGCATCTTCATACCATTTCTCAAAGTTAAGCTCCAAGCCCCTAGAGTCATTGCGCTTCTGTGATCCAACTAAGAAGCTAGGAGTTATAAGAAAAGCAATTGAAATCAAAGAGAGAAAGCCATAGATTCCATGCTTTAAAGCTACGAGAGCCATATAATCCAACCCCCTTTTTTGCCAGAAAGGAAATTTAAGCCCGGGGTGGGAGGGGTCCATTGTAACAGATGTCAGGTTCATGATGTCATCTGATGTCAGGTTTAGAGTTTGAATTCAGCTCTCTAAATTGAATACTCTTTCCACTACCCTACACTTTCCTTTGTACAAAACCATCATATACCCATACCTGGAATACTATATTCAATTTTGGCTCATGAACTTACAGAAAAGTAGAACGGACTTGAAGCTGGTACAGAGAAAGACAAATGTAGCTGTAGTGGAAAGAGGGCTGGACAGGTAATCAGTAGGCCTGGGTTCCATTGATCCTTACTGTGTGATTTGGGGTAATTTGATTCACCTTTATGAGTCTCAGTTTTCTCCTCTGTCAGTGATGATAATACTATTTATACTTCCTACCATACAGGGTAGTTATGAAGAAAACACCTTACAAGTCTTGAAGCATTATAAGTTATTAAAGGATTGGGTTGGAAGAGCTTCTGTGTCAGCAGACTAAAAGGTTTAGTGTTTGTCATTGGAGAGTCAGCATGGTGCAGTGGAAAAAGCAAGGTTGATTTGAAACTCAAGTCTTGGGTTCAAGTCACCTCTGATACTAGCTGTGTGATATAGGACAGGATAAGTTATTTAGCCTCTGAGTCTGTGTATCCATGTGTAAAATAGGGATAATAATAGCTTTTTTGTTTATCTCAGGCTTTTGAAGATCACAGGATAATGCACATAGGATGCTATGAATGATTTTAAAGTGTTTTAGAAGTAAGTTGTTACTCATTCTGGAAAGAAGACAGGATCTGACTGAAGTCTGTGAATTATGGTATACTGGAACTACAAGGTATCCCCCTAAAGCTTGAAAGAGACAAATTTATTAACAAAAAGAAGGGCATGAAATCAATTATCCTTAGTGGTGGTACAGAAGGATGATAGAAACAGCTTCAAAAGAGGTTAAGTTATATTCATGGATGGCAGACTTTAAAGGCTGTTTGGAGAACTACTCTAATATTCTGAACCAGGGAAGATGACTGTGTCCTTGAATATCACCTGGATGATACAGTAAAAGTTAGTACTAGTTTGTAGCCTTATGCCAGCATTGCAGTTATTTTGTTCTCTAAGCAACATAGGTTGAGAAGACTTACAGTATATATGTGTCTCTTTATTCATTGCAGATTGTGGCAAAGAGTGAGAGATATGTAAGGACACAGAAGCAGTGAGGTGGTATAACTAGGGGATTATCAGTGCTGGGAATAGGGGACTGGAAACTTCGTATGTGGTTACACTGGGAGCTTTCCCATTCTTGGGAAAATCTCTTGGGCAGAATGATGTGGCAGGGCTGCCTGCCCCAGGAGGAGACTCAAAGGGAAGATCATTTCTTCCACAGCTAGTGAGGATCATGTATCTGAGGCTGGATTTGAACTTAGGTCCTCTTGACTCCAGGGCTGGTGCTCTAATCACTGCACCACCTACCTGCCCCAGGAAGATCATTTCTTTCCAGGAACACCCATAACAGAGAATGAGAAACATATATGGGAAGTGGGAGAGGAGTGTTGCCAAGGAGCTGAATGTAAACTAATGACCCATGACCCATGACCCTTGGAGTATGATATTAAGCATGCTTTATACCAGAAGAAGAAAGATCCCTGCTCAGTAGGGGGGTGAGAAAGTGAGGTAGGTCAGACGTGGGGATAGAGCCTCAAGTTTGTGACTTTTGTACCTGATTTTTGTAAAAGGACTTGGGTTAGAAAAGGAAATGGGGCTTTTCCAACCCTATCAGAGTGGTGGTCAGCCAGATGTTGGGCTTAGATAGTAATACTGTTCTCTATCCTGCTTGGCTGAAGGTAATAATAGGGCAGGTCCAGGCCTTCATTACGAGCCACAATCTCCCTTTCTAGAGTATTTAAGTCTTCCTGGAAACGCTTCAACACAGCCTTATACCCAGGTCCTGAGAAGTATTCCTCCTTGTGATGACCCAGGGGTACCTGAGACAGAGAAGAAGGTCATCTCATAGTCAAAAGCTTCAGGTCTATAGACCCTTCGCTGCCAATTCTATTCCCTTACCCCTGGGCCCTATTCCCTCTGTTGGCCCTGGCTCTTACCATGTCTGGCTGGAACCGACCCAGGTGCCATGCAATAGTCATCTGGAGACAGGCCTGATGGACATTGGGTAGTGTGGCCATCACCATCTCTAATGTTACATCCTTTGTGGTTGGTGGTGGCTTCCTCATAGTGCATGGAGCATTAGGGACCCAGGCATACCAATCTAGCTGTGATTGAGAGAGAGAGTGAAGTCACTCAGAGACTGAGGAATCTGAGCCCATAGTTCCCTTCCTCCAAACCCTGCCCCCAATAAAGAAGTGTATTTGGCCCCCACACACACACACTCAGGGATTCAGATGTACAAATTACTTTACCTGTCCTTGATTAATGCCTGAGTGTTGGGCTGTGCATGTAAAGATGCACATAGTAACAAAGTGGCAGAGCTCAGCACGGGACTGGAAAGAGACAGGAAACCCTGGAAAAGAGAAGAGTTTGTAGAAGAAACAAAAGACTCAGGGAGAAATGAGGGCTTGGTGGGGTGGCCCCATGAGGTGGCCAAGATCCTGGGATGTGTGGACTTAGGAAAATTTTGGCTCTTAGAAGTTGTATGATCAAAAGTCTTATTTCTCCCTTCACTTTTAAAGGGATTTAGAGGTGTAGATCACTTCCTTCACTTGCAAGTCTTTTGTGTTCTGACAAAAAATTCCCTTACATTGTAAGTTTAGATACAAGTTTATATTTGACAATGGACCATATGTAGTAGTCTAGCAGCAGATAGGGGTAGGAGAAAAAGACACTACTTGGAGAACGCAGAGGATTAGAGGTAAGGAAGGAAGAACTTAGTCTTTGTTGGAAGAAATGTCTCTCAATTTTACCCTTGAGTAGAGGTGATGGAGATCCTAAGATCTATCTACTGGCAACAGAACCTTGCTGCCATGTGATGCTATCTGCCTTATGTGGTTATTGGTGCCTTGTGTTTGTGGGCTGGGGTTGTTTCTTTCTGTGTTGTTTGTAAATACCCGTGATAAGGAGTCAGGATATAGGGAAATGTAAGGGGACTGGGGTCTGAGGTCATCTTTAGTGGTCCCTAGGTTTGCAAAGTTTCATAAAGGTAGTAGAGCTCAGAGGGTTTTAGAGAGGTCTTTAGGAAGGGTTTAGAAGAAAAAGAGATGATTTTTCAGTATGGGAGATGTCAAATCTTACCTCGTTCCTGGGCCCCACACAGCCCAATCTCAGTGATCTCCTGGCACCAAGCCTGTACCTCAGGGTCACTCTGAACAACCTCATCTTCTGAATAATAGAGATGGACTGTTCCTTGCACATATCTGCTCCCCAAGAGAGAAGGAGGTAAGGGGAAACCAGTGAAGGGGAACCAGTGGGACTTCACCGAGAATCTTAGAATTAGAAGGAAATTCAAGGAACAACTTTTTCACCCTAAACAGATAAAAAAATCCTTTCTATATCATATCATCACCAACAAGTTGTGATTCTGCCTTCATTTGAAGATCACCAATAAGGGGAGATCTGCCTCTTGAGATATCTCATTACCTTTTGGGTAGCTTTGTATGTTGGGTAGCTTCTCTTTACACCAAAGGAAGCAGGGCTTCCTTCTCTACCACTTCCCTCATTTGCTCCTAGTGCTGCCCCTTGAGGCACAGAACAAATCTAGTGTCTCTTCACGTGCTGGTCCTTTAAGAGATTGAAAGCTAATCCATTCCGCTCAAGTCTTCTTCCTTCTCTTCCCTCTTTGGACAGTTGGGACCTTTTTCCTTCTGCAGTCCTGTAGCATCTGTCCCATTCTCCTGACCTTTCATACATCACTAACATTAGTTTAGCAATGGGATTGATTTGGACTATTTTGAACTTTTCCAAAAGAGTTGGGTCTTCTGCTCTCTTTTTACCTGTCATGGGTTTTTCCTTTTCACCATTTTTCTTCTCTTCTTTCCAATCCAAATATCGTTCTTCTTGACCAGGAGAACAGTTTTGTACTTTTGCTTTCACTCCATCATCATGCCATCTATCAGAGCAGTAGTCCTGTCTCTCCTTTTTTGCCCAAACATAACTTAGAAAGCCTTTTGTTGTCCTTAACATTCATTATGAGTCAGGTCATTCTGTTCTTGACACTGTTTTTATAGGGTTGTTCTATACTTTTGTGTTCACCTCCAATTAAGGCTAAGTTGGCAAAAGAGGCGTTAGTCTCTTTAGATGATTCTCTCTTTTCCTCTTTGGCGTTGTTTCTGTTCCCTTCCTCAGATGTTCATTTTTGAGAGCTTCCTGTCCTTCCTAGGCTAGCTTTGATTATAGAGTTTTAGGTCGTGGGATCTTATTCTGTGCTTTCTCTGAAGCTTTTGAAATTTGCTCTCCCAATCAACCAGGTTTGCAGCCTCGGTGCTATCCTCGGACTCTGCTCTCTCTTCCTCACTCCCTGTATCCAGCAAGCTGCCAAATCCTGTCATTTCTGCTTCCGTGACATCTCCTGCATCATTCTTTTTCTCACACAGCCAACGCCCTTTATCACTCTATTTGCCTTTATTGCCGTTTGCCAGGACTATTGCCACAGCCTCTTAATTGGTTTATTTGCCTCTAGTGTCTCCTCTCTCTCCAGTCCATCCCCTACACAGCTCTAAACACTATTCTCTTGCTTCACGAAGTAAACTCAAGCAGCTCCTTTTTGATTCAAATATTATTTCTTCTTTCTCTCATATTTTTCATTTATACTTTTGTATCTTTTACAGTTTACATACTTGTTAGTACAGTATCATGCAGTACTAATATACACATATAAATAAGTATAGATATAGATATATTGGAGTTGCTTGCTAAATTTTTTTTTTTTACTGAAATGGTTGCACAGTCACAAGAATTGGGAAGACCAGTGGCCTAAGATGTAAAAGTCCAGCCCATGAGTAATCAATCCTCTTTAGGTTTGGTGGACTTCTGAGTGCCCTGTGAGGAAAGATCTCCTTCTGACCATGTGCACCATGGTGCCTGATATGGAGGTGAGGGGAGCTGTGGAACTAGGTTTGCTTTGCAAATCATATCTGTGCTGTGATTGAGTGAACTTCCTTTTGTCAAGTGGTAAATGGAGTCTGAGTGTCTCATCTCAAGTCCCAAACTTGAAGTACCATAGTGTCCTGACTTAAATTGGAGATTAACACAACATTTTTTTACCTTTTGCCCCCTGTTATCCTTTTCCATTTGAATAAGGTATAACTTTCCATAGCAATGTTCTTATCATGAATCATACTTACTAAGGCTCATTGGTGCCAGTTTGTAGTCTTGCTTATTATTCAGCCCTTGTGCATTTGTATCACGTGTTTGAGGGATTTATGTTTGTTTGTTTGTTTTAGGATTCTCTCTTCTGTGAATTATTGGGCATCTCTATTGGTATTCTTCCTCCTATGTTGTAGCTGCTTCTCTCTCTGTCTCTGTCTCTCTCCCTCTCCCTGTCTCCCTCCCCTCTCTCCTCCTCCCATCTTTCTCCATGTCTTTTTCTTTCAATTTAGATTGGAAGGTTTAACTAGACAACTTTCTCTATTTTAATTTCAAGGTTTTTTTTTCATATTCCCTGACTATTTCTCATCATTGTGTGATTAAGGACAAGTAAATGTTTCTCAATTTCCTCACATGTAGTAAAATGGACATACTATTCACCATTGACAATTATAGTACCTGCACTACCTACTTTGCAGGTAGTTGTAGAGAAAGTGATTTGAAACTATAATATGCCATGTAAAGGTGAACTATGATTTTTCCTCCAAAATCAGAGATGATGCAAACAGCTCCAACCCCTTCAATGACTTTCTTTTTCTCATATCCTGGCCACCATCTCATGATTCTTTCATATATCCTTTCAGGTTTGGCCATCTTGTTTGGCTAAGTCTAGATTGTCTAATTCCCAGTTCTCACCTGCCCCTTCACTATTGGAATCCCTTGGCCTGTGTTCCCCATTTTACTGTCCATCCCTCCCCTCGGTGCCACCTCCTCACCGGGAGATAATGTCCCAGAGCCGAAGGGCATCATGAGCATAGAGAGCTGATGGAATCCCCAGAAGCCCTCGGTCAGCCAGGTCATCAGGAGGGCAGAGGGATCTATAGGTCAGACAAGCTGTTGCCTTTCGGAGGACATCCAGGTGACCTCCCCCACCAGTGTTCACCACCTGTGTTGGTTGAATGGAAAGTTAGGACGGGATGGAAGTGGGGAGCCAAATTTAAAAATTAGAAAGGAGGGTGGGAGGAATTAAGGGGGTCAGGTCATTTTTTACTTTTCCCTCGTTCTCGTATCCAATCAATTGCCAGACTGTTAAGGTACACTTTAGTAATGTCCCTTGTTGCTTCTGGCCTGCACTATTGAAATAACCTTCTAATAGCCCTTCTGGCCTCCAGGCTCTTCTTTTCTAGGTCATCCTCCAGTACTGCCAGAATATTCTAGCTGATGCACAGATTTGATGCTGTCATTGCTTTGCCCCCAATCTTAAGTGGCTCCCTATGATTGCAGAATAAAATAACAAATTCTTCAGCCTAGCATTCAAAGCCCTCCCTAATCTGGCTCCATCCTGCTTTTCTCACTTTATTTCACATTACTCCCCCTTCATACACTGTATGTATGTTCCAGCTAAACTGGCATAGTGTTCCCATGTGTGGAATACAATCCTTCCACATCCAACTATTGAAATCTTTCTTTTGCTTTGAGGTCCAGCTCAGGTGCTACCTTCCTTGACATACCCAGGTAGATATGATCTCCTTCTTGAATCTTACATGGTTTGACCCTTTGTCTGTACTTAAGTCATCTTCTAATTTGTAATTATTTGTGTATATTTCTTCTCTTCTACCATTTTGTAAGCTCATGGAAGATAGATTATGTCTGGTTTTATCTGTATAGTCATAGTACCTTGTACATACTAGGTGCTTAATAAATGTTTAATTGGATTAAAACTAAGATAGAAACAGGTCATTGATTTGAGGTTGTGGGAGGCAGAAATCTTCATGGGTTCCTAAAGATTAAAAAAAAAAGAGGACCTGGGGTGGAGGAGCATATTCTTCCCTGACTCCCCCCACATTTCTCTAACTCCTGAATCCTCCCCCTTCATACCTGATCAAAAATTCCCCCATCAGAGATGAGCTTGGTTCGGGCACGAGTGTTAATCTCCAGTGTGTAGCGGAGGTGAGGTATCAGGAGCTGGTGGAAAAGGACAGGTGGAAATAAGAAAGGGGAAAGCTTTTGTCCCACAGGACAGCAGACCCTGAGCAAGAATGGGGCTGCAATCAAGGAGCATCATAAAGTATGTGGACAGATTACATGGTTGGTATGGCATGAGATCAGATCTAGGGACAAAAAGATAAAAATGATGACCTTGAGATTCTTTCAGGGACAAGAAACTTGGATGAGAAGGAAGAGTAGGACATTTGAGATTGGTTGTTTTGTAGGAACAAAAAGAGGAAAAACATCAGTAAAGGTATGAAAGTGAGACTGAGCATATCATATTTTGGGAAGACCAAAGTGATTAGAGCAAAGGGTTTGTATGTGGGGCCAAATTATAGGATACTATGATGGGGAGTAGGAGTCATTTATTGTAGTGTCTTGAGCAAGAGAGTCGCCTGATATGTACTTCTGAGGAAATTTAGGATTCCAAGTTCATTTGCATACTCCCTTCTGATCAGCTCAAAGTCTTTAATCTCATTTTCTCCACATCTTCTTGGAAGTTTTTTTCTTGCATCTTTGAGTAATTGTTTACTATCTATATCCGTCATCTCTTTCTATGTTACCTTCCATTAATGGCTCTTCTTTTTCCTGACCCCAGTGGTGGGTGCCCTACAAGGTTCTGTCATCCTCTCCAAGTCTTCTTTTACACTTAGTCGTATTTTCATGGCTTTGGCAATCACTTATGTGTTACATAAATCTACATCTTCAGCCTGGACCATGGGTCTCCACTGCTATTTGGTTCCATTTCTAGGTACCAGAAGTCTCTCTTTTCTTGAATGTCACACAGTGAGTTTCAAGTTAACTTGTTTAAAGCCATACACATCATACATCGCCCAAATTTTGTCTCTACTCACACCAACTCTTCAGCTTCTGTCATTCACACAAGCTGAGTCTTTACCCTCCCTTGTTCTCCATCTATAATCACCCAGCCCTGTTGAACCTTCCTTTGTAATGTCCCAGATCCTATCCTCCCTTCTCACTGTCACCCCATTCCTGTACTATTCCTGACCACCTAATTGTGGTCATTGTCTCCATTCTCTCTCCACTCCACATGCCGCACATTAATCTTCTTAAAATATTCATTTCATCCAGGATTAAGTCCAAAGTTCTTAACGACCTTCAAGATCTCCACAAATCTGGTCCCCAAATACATTAAGAGTCCCTCACTTCTGCCCTTCACAAGTTCTCCAATTTAGGTAGCCTGGTCCACAAATTTTTCCCCACCTGTGCCATGTTTGTTCCTGTATTTATTAAAAGTGAAAAAAGAAAAGAAAAGCAAGTGAAAGAGAGGGAGGAAGAGAAAAGAAAAAAGTGGAGGGGTGGGGAGACAAGGGACAGAGGAGAAGGAATGTGATAGGGAATGAGAGGGAGAGTGTGAGGAGATGTTAAAAAGAAAGAGCAAGAACCTAATTCATTACAGATGGTGTTACAGGTTTATATGTATATCATGAACCTCATGAGGGCAGAGGCCACATACTTTCTTAATCCTTCAGAGATTTTATCAATGCCAAGCACACAGTAAGTGCTTAGTACACACTGTGTCCACATTACTACAGTCTAGAACCTTAGAAAATAAGAAGTAGAAAGAACCCAAGACATCATTAGTTCCATTTCATTTAACAGAGGAGGAAATTAAGGCCCAGAGAAAGAAAATGACTTGTTCTTTTAGCTTTTAATGTATTTGCCTCCTGGGATTCTTTGCTGTCAAGTGAAACACATAATGCTTAATTGGTGTAAAGAAACCATTCCTGAATGTTACCCTCTAATTGGATTTGGCAGTCTTTTCCCTTAGGTTCACAGGGGTGGGATGTGAAGGGTAGCTATAGGGTAAGGTGAGTACCTTGAAGATGGGGTGCATCCCTGGGAGGCATCTCATGGTGGCTACAGCAAACACCTCAGCCACCAAATGGGTCTTCAGCAGATGTGCTTGCAGCTCATGAAGCTGGAAGTCAGAATTTCTGACCCAGGCCTTGGCCAGGAGCCAAGTGAGGGAGGGATCTGAGGGCAGGAAGAGTGGTGGGTCTGGAGAGCCAGAGCAGGGAGGCTGGAGCTGGAGGACGAAAGAATCAGTACAATCATAGACCCAGAACTGGAAGGGACCTCAGAGGCCCAGGAAAGGCTAAATGACTGGAGCAATATCAGCCAGGTAGTAAATGGGAACCCAGGGCCTCTGTTCTAGTCACTGCTCTTTGTATTGAACTACATGGGTAGGGCATTAGATCCCTGGGTCTTTGAAAGGAAGAAGGGCTGGTGAAGCACAGCAGAGAGTCAGAGGTCAGGGGCAGCTAGGTGGCGCAGTGGATAGAGCACCGGCCCTGAAGTCAGGAGGACCTGAGTTCAAATCCGGACTCAGACCAAACACTTGACACTTAACTGTGTGACCCAGGGCAAGTCACTTAACCCCAACTGCCTAAAAAGAAAAAAGAGAGAGAGTCAGAGATCTTTGTCCCAGGAAATGGGTTGGTGGGGAGGCAGTGGGGTGGAGGAAGGATGAGTAAGGGAGCTGGGGAGAAGGATGCCTGGGTTCCCTCACCTGGATGGCCATCGGTAGCAGCTTCCCATCAGGCTCCATCTTTAACATGACCAGGGGAGCAGCCAGATGTTGCCTCTCTCCCTGGATCACATTGGCCTGGATTCCATCCAGCAGGGAAAAGTCAGCTTCAAACAGGCAACCTTCCTGGGGGATATATTAGTCTGAGGTCAAGGTTCAAAGCTGAATGTGGAACAACAGTTCTAATACCAGGGACAGTCAAAGGATCAGCATGAAGGACTGAAAGAGAAGTCCAGATTCTTAATTAGACCCAGACCCATAGAATATGAAACCTGGAAGGCACCTTAGAGGTCATCTAGTTCAGCCTCTCAATTTACAGAGGAGGAAACTGAGGCCCAGAGAAGTAAAATGACTTGCCCAGGGTCACACAGCTACAAAAGCAAAGCAGGGGTTAGAAACCAAATCTTCAGACTCCAGCACCCTTTCCATTTACATTATATCGAAACAGATTTAAAGCTCCTTTGTTTGAATGGTCATGACCCTCTTCTAATCTCCCATACCCAATCCAAACTCCCAAACTATTTGTCCTCTCTCTCTGGCACAATCTTGTCCCTCCGCAAACAAACCTTCTACCATCTCCCTTCTTTTTCCACTTCCAAACTAGTCTTCTTCTTCCCCTAAATTTCTTTTCCTTCTTCTCAACCCTTTCCACTTCTTAAGCCTCCCCTCCCAATTCCTCCAGGAAACTTAAGTCATTTTCTCTCTTGACTCCCTTCCCTCTCCTCTCTCTGTGTACTGAGATCCGTATGGAGAGTCTTCATTTGTTAATCTGCCCCTGTCTCCATCTATTTCCTCTTTTTCTGTCTTGTTTACCTTATTATACTCCATGTTCGCCAGAAGAATAGTAGGTTCATTTTGCTCTCATGCCCCTCTTTCTGGTATTTTACATATCCAAAGAACCCCAAAATGAGGATGAATTACTGCCATTGGCTCTTCCAGTTGTGCTTTTGTAATGGATCAGTGTTTTCCCAAGATTTAATTACGGTTTCTCCATTCTTAAAAATCAAGTTATCCTTCTGTAATTTCACCCTATTCCTTAACCTAAACCTTGAGCAGTGTGTTGTATGTATTTAGAACTGACCTAATTTGATCCCTTGAAGACTTTTTAATTCTGTGTCATCAGAAAGATGACAAGGAAGAAGAAAGGATTGGAGTAGAGAGGAGAACAAGAGGAGAGGGCTACCTGGAGCTTTCTTTCCAGCTGGGCCTGAAGACCCTCTAGTTCTGGGGGGATCACCAGTCGAGTAGGGAGTGAGGTGGACCTTCTCAGCAGTGTAGGGTTGACACCATTGAGGAACTGGTAGCCAAAAAAATCATCCTCCTTCCAGGACTGGCGTACCCTCTCTGGGAGCAGAAGGCAGAGATCACAGCACTCTGAGGGGCCTCTATGCTCAGACTCTCCTCAGGGTCCAAGCATTGAACCCCCCCACCCTCACATGTCCAGGACACCCTCAGGAAAGAGGCCTAAAGTGAGTCACCTTTAGGGCCATTTCTGGATAAGATGGTCAGTGGAAAGACTGCAGTGATAGAGTATTCAGGGGAAGTTGGGTATTATTGATATGGGGGGGAGGACACAGAATGTCATGGATGAGTCGTTGGAGAAGATGGGGCTGGATTGAAAGGTTATGGGGCTGTTACTGACTGGCCAGGGCACTCTTGCTGCCCCAGAAGATTTGGTCAAAATCTTCCAAGCTATTCCAGGAGCTCAGGAGGGTGTACAGACGTTTAAGGGCAATATCCATCATTCTAGGATAAGGAGTAAAGGAAGTAAGTGGGGAATTAGATGTTTGAAAGTTCCTCCCCAAAACTCCATATCTGTCATCCCTGGGAGCTCCCACCCTAAACCCCGTTTTTACCTCTGGTCTCATTCCTACCCTGCAGCCAGTGTCCCTTCAAAGTCAATCTTCTTCCCCTCATGGAATCTCACATCCAGAGGCAGGTCTTTCTCTGATGCTGCAGCCACTGACAAGGGTAGCCCTTCCTTCCAGGTGGCCCAGCTGGAGATCCATGGAATTAGAAGGTCAGTGAAGGGTTAAAAATCAAGGCTCAGTGGAGGTTAGAGGCCACTAAAGGGTCAAGGGTCACAGGTTAATAAGGTAGGGCCCAGAAGTCAGAGTTTAAGTTACTGAGGGGTCAGGGGGTCAGGGATATCACCGATAGAGTGTCCTTCTCTCCTCCAGCTCTTCTTCTCCATGTTTCTGAAACAGGCCCTGGACTTCATTTCTCATCATCCAAGCTGGGGAGGCATGGGAACAAGGGCTCACTTACCTGCTTCATCTCCATGTATGTGCTTCCAAGATGCTCCCTACCCCTGGACTCCAGATCACCAATTTCCTGAGTCTTACCCCATTTTCTGTTCCTCTCTGCCTCTGTGTCAAGCCCATCACCCTTCCCTTTTCTTACCTGCTGCCCAGTCTTCTGTGTCCGCACCCCAAGCCTTCTGTCCCCATCTTACCTCTTCCCTTGTTCTAGATGGTGTGTTTTCTGTCTCTACCCAACCCTCACCCATTCCCATACTTCCTACTCTCCAAAATCACATTCTTCACATTTTCTACTCAGAGGCCTTTCAACTGTTTTTGTTATTAACTCCCTAGAATCACACACTGTACATTCTCTTCCTCATGTCCCCAGCCTCACCTAGGTAAAGCTACTGCATTATGTCATAGAATTGTCATATAACTTTTCCTCCAGCTTCTTCTACTTCTGACTTCCTGTCCCCTAGCTGTACTCTGCCTTCCTTGTGCCTTCCCTTCCTTATGTCCTCTGCCTTCCTTTTGATCCTTTCTTCAAAAACTGCCTTTTATTCGTTAACTTTAACTTCAACTACACCCCAGGGTTTGTCAAGTCGAATTCTTTTAATGAGCCTCAATTTCTTTTTCTTTACAATGAGGGCAATAATTTGGATGACCTCTAAGCTCCCTTCCAGGCCCAAGTCCTCTGCCCTCTCCTTGCCCCTGACTCCACCCTTCTCACCAGTGGCCTCAGGCAGGCAGATGATGCCATCCCCTTGCACCCAGCGGTAGCAAGGGAACACTACCTCCTTCTCCTCCATGCTCTGCTGAAATACCCAGACGGTTATGTGGTTGCAGAACCAGGCATCCTTCAGCAGAAGGTGGGTTTTACGAAGCTTCACAAACAGGAGGGGACCCAGGTCTTCTGAGACATCAACTTCAAAATCCTCCATCTAGGGTGTGGGTGGAGGGGAGGGTAGAAGAATCAGGAGGTAGTGAACTGTAATCGTAGCTCACAAAGTCATGTATTTTTATAGATTTTGTAAATGAGGTACCCGAAGCTTCAGAGGTTAAGAGACTTGCCAATAATGTCATACATATGGTAAGATTTGAACCTAAGTCTGTTGACCTCAAGACACTTTGCCTCTGTTTTGAAAAGAAGTTTCACAGGTCTCCTGTCTGGGGGGTCACTGTTAGATAAGAGTGTGAGGAATGAGCTTACTAAGTTCATGCACAGTGTTACTGCTGGAGATAATCAGGTCCAGATGGCCCCTTATAACATATATGAGCTTGGGCCTCAGGCTCAATTTTAAAGTGAAGGAGTTGGATTATCACGGTGTAAATTCATACATAGTAAGTACTTAATATTTGGTCAATTGAATTAAATCTCTAAGATTCTTTCCATCTCTTATATTCTGTGTACCCATTACACACCATTATGGGTGCTATAGGATTATACTTGGGTTGAGTAGTTGAGATCAATACAGTTAAATAAAATTTTTAAAGTGTTTCTTTAAGTAACGTAAGTTTATGAAAAGTGGTTAGTCTGGGGAAAGCACAAGTTCAGTGGGGGAGGCAAGGATTGGGAAGCCTGTGAAGGATGTGGTATTGGAGCTGAGCCTTGAAGGATGAGTAGGATTTTAAGAGGTAAAAGGAATAGCAGAGTTAGACTGGAGATCGTCTAAGATCTTTCTAATCTTCTGTGAGTTACCTCATACACATCTTACAAATAATAAATTCTAGAACATTTAAAAGTGATAGCCCCAGAGAACAGCTTTTCAGAATGGTCAAGGGACAGGCAGTGAGATCAGTCATCAAAGAGACTGACATTGGGGATATATGAATGTAACAGAATACCAATATGCTGTAAAAAATGATGGAGACTCAGAGAAACTTGGGAAGACTTGTATGGACTGATAGAACAGCATATGGTAGCAACATTGTAAAGAGAGAAAACTTTGAAAGACTTAAAAACTCTGATTAACTGACCATCATTTCAGAGGACTCATGTTTGATGGACTCAGGATGCAGATTAAGACCTGTGTTTTGGACATGGCCAGTTTAGGAATTGGTTTGCTTCACTATGCATATTTTTCTTTCTTTTTATTGGAGGGGGGGGAATGGGAGGGAGAAAAAATATTTTTTTCTTTACTAAATAATTTTTAAAATTCTAAGAAAAGAACAAACAGGAAAGGGGCAATAGGAACATGTCATATTTCCATAATGCTTTTCAGAACTTCTATAACAAGCCTGCCTGGTATGTAGGCCAGGCACTCCCATTTTAGAGAGGGAAACTGATTCCCAGAAAGATGAAGTGATTTGGCCACCCAGGAACCAACTAGATCCTTGGTAGGCAGAGTAGGAGCATCTTAACCCAGATCCTCTGGCTGTCCCAGTCCGACATTGTTTCTACAGGTCCCTCCCCTGTTCCTCACCCCTCCGCCTTTTGACTCCAAGGTAAATGGCCTCTCCTGGGCATCCCAGAAGGCCATACATAATTCATGACTATACCCTTTCAAGGTTTTTTCCTGTTCAAGTTCATTGGCCAGGAGAGGTGTCCCTTATGCTCCAACTTCGTTGTTTTCCTGCCTTCCAATCTAGGATCAGCATGGCAGTGCACTAAAAATCCCCAGTCCAGAGTCCCTTCCTGATCTTTTCTCAGCTGTCCGGGTCCATGGCACTCAGACCATCCATTTCCCAGAGCTTCTCTTCACATCCTCACCCCCTCACTGACCTGTCCCCGAGATAGCCGCAGCCGCAGCCCCAGTTCCGCCTCAGCCCGCAGCCCAACCAGCCACAGCTGCACTTGGTTGTTGGACCCCGAAAAGGCAAAGCTGCCGGTGGCCACGCGTACCCGGTAGCGACCCATTTTGTCTGGAGACTCTGGCTGTCGAGAGAAGAGTAACGGGAAAGTTGCTCAGAGCCCTGCCCACTGCTGTCCAGTGAGTCTCCTTGGCTCAGAGTAAGGCTTTTAGTGAAGCCCTTCCACGCCGGCCCATTTACCTACACAGTCCCCACCCTTCTCCGACTCTTTGGCTTCCACTTTCCCCACCCAGGGGGATGGGTCTGAACCTGCCATGGAAAATGGGCAGGGAGGGGGGAATTTCTGGGGTTTTTTTTTTTTGAGGTGATTAGAACTGCCTGGATGGGAAATAAGAGGGCTTGGTTATCAGGAACAGGAAACTTGCCTTTTTTGTTTTGGGGGAATGTGGGGAGCTGATAGACTGTCCGACAAAAGCCAGAAAGAAAATAGCCTCAGTTTCTTCTTATAAAAACCAGCGCTAATTTCCCAAATCCCAAGCAGCTTTATAGTCTGACTAAGGGACTTTTCTAAGTTTTGTTTATGTTTGGTTTTTTGTTTTTTAAGATGATTTTCAGGGTAGGACATGATGATTTCTGTGTCCCCTTCCAGCTGATACCGTATGTTTTACAACATAATTCTCAGTTTTTAGAATTTTATTTTCCCAAGGGCTTTCCTCACAATCCTCCCATAAGTAGTAGTATCCCCATTTTACAGAAGAGGCAGCTGAGACCCAGAGAGCCTAAATGACTTGCCTAAAATCACACAGCTATTAAGTGGCTGTTAGGATTTGTAGTCCTGACTGAAATCTAGTATTTATTTCAGTGCAACAAAAGCTTTATTTATCTTCCCCTTACCTCCAACACATCAAGGCTTTTTTAAAGAGGGCAACGAGAAGGCTTAGAGAATGGACTAAAGGTCTAGAACTCAGAAAGGTTAGTGAGCTTGGGACGTGGTGGCTAGAAAGGGTGGGGCGGGCTCTGCTGGTGACTCTGTTCTCTACTCGCTGCAGGTATTCATAGGCCAGGGTTTGCTGAACTTTCTTCTCTAGGATCTCTTCCCTAAAACGGCTCGGCATAGCCAGCGCCCCAGAGCTTGAGAAGCATTCTTTGTGCTGCTCTAGGGGAACCTGAGCCGGATGGAAAAAGCATAGCAGCCCAGAAGACTATCAAGAAGTCCCCTAACAGCATCTTCGAGCTTCCTTCTGGTGCAGTTCCCTTCCCCTACCCCGCCTCCCACTGGTCTGGCCAGTCTCTCCTCTTTTTTGTAGAATAAACTCATACTCAGAGAGGACTTGTCCAAGTTCACAAAAGGACCGTCAGAGTTGAGCCCAGATCTCATTCTAACCCTAACATTCGTCAGCAAACATGTATTAAATATCACGCAGTATGCTAAACACTGGGATTACAAAAAGGCAAAAGATACTCGAGTCCAGAAGCTCATAATCTAATGGGGGAAACAACTAGCAAACAAACATGTACCTGCAAACTATATACGGGATAAATAGGACGCAATGAACAGAATGAAAGCACTAAGATTAGGAGTGACTGGCAAGGGCTTCCTTTAGAAGATAGCGTTTTAGTTGGCTCTGAAAGGAATCCAGGAGATGAAGAGGGAGAGCATTCTAGGCCTAGGGAATAGCCAGAGAAAATGCCTGGAGCTTAGAGATATGGAGTATGGTATCTTGTCCGTGGAACAACAAGGATGCCAGTGTTACTCTATCAAGAAGTATGTGGTAGAGAATATGGTAAGACTGGAAATATGGGAGAGAAGGGACCTAAGTTAAGCAAGGTTTTATTGCCAAACAGGCTTTTGTATTTGATCTTGGAGGTAATAAAGAACCACTGGAGTTTATGGAGTGGAGATGGGGAGGGGGTGACATGGCTGAACCTGAGCTTAAGTAAAAGCACTTTAACTGCTAGAGGACTAAGTGGAGTAGGGAGACTTGTACTATGCTTTTCATCTGAGGTTTAGATCTAGCCACTAGTCTTCAATTTTTTTTTTGTCTAGGCAATTGGGGTTAAGTGACTTGCCCAGGGTCACACAGCTAGTAAGTGTTATGTGTCTGAGGTCAGATTTGAACCCAAGTCCTCCTGACTCCAGGGCCAGTGCTCTATCCACTGTGCCAGCTAGCTGTCCTGGTCTTCAGCTTTAATTGCCCATCCCTTCACCATAGTTAAACTTGACCCAGTATCTGAAGGGATGCCTGGTGAGTGGGTAGAGTGGTTGTCACCATTTCCAGTGTCACATCCTTTGTGCTGGGTGGGGGCATATGCATGGGGCATTACCATTGCCTGGGGCAACCCAGGCCCACTAGTCCAGCTGGAAGAAGGGAACAAAAAGAATCTTTAGAGTCACTCAGAACCAAAAACGTGGTCTCTGTTTCGTTTCTGGCACCACTAACTTTCCACCTCAATCCATGAGCAGGTCCCTTCCCCAGGCTGACTTAATGACACTGTACAAGTAAAGATGCACAAGGTCATAAAGCAGCAGAGCTCCATTCCTGGAATGAAGGAATAGGAAGAGGAGACTGGATGGGGTTGTGGTAGGTGCACAGAGACAGCAACCTGTTGAAATCTTGGGAGTTTTTTGGGTTTGGAGGAAGCTTTGGAGAAATGATGGGGGGGATGCAGTTTAGAGAAATATTTGAAAGTGTCTTGGGTTCTTCTTTAAAATTTTATTTTTATGGAATAAAACAAGCACTTCTGTAACATAGTAAAATAAAAATGATAATTGCACATGAAACTGCAAATCTGTTAGATACAATTTGCTATTCCTTTTAAATATGTAATAAAGTTATCATGTAAATTTATTTTTTTCTCCTTTTTTTCTTCCCTCCTCCCCACCCCTCCCTAGAGATGGCTCCCATTAGACACAAATAGGTGTTTGTGTATGTATATATGTATATGTATTGTCGACCATAATTGAGTTCGTTCTAAGGAAGACAAACAAAATTAGGCTGCGTGTGCATGTTTATTTCTCTCCAAGCTTGCATGGGAGCTCATTGTAGACAATGAGCCCAAGGACAGAGAGATAAAGGGGATCTTATGTCTTCAGAGTAATTCTCCCTCACCCCTCTGTTCCTTCCTTCCTGGCTCAGAGTGCCTATGTCAGCCAAAATTATAGTCTCCATTGTGTTAGCCATAATATAATATTTCTTAATTGGATAGATTGTAAATACAATAAGATAGGAGAGTCAAAGTGTCCATTGAAACTATAGATCCACCATGTCTGTGTCTATTTTATCATTAACATGACTATATATAGATAGCATAACATGGCATAACACGTATCCATGAAATACCAAGACAAGAAAAGTCCCATTATTCAAGATAGTGTCTGGTTCAAGGCATCCTGCTCTGGACAGTCATAAACAGAAGAATGTTCCTGGTCTGCTTCATCTGGTCTTGTTGCTCACACAGGAAGGGTCATTTTGGGTTCACTCAGAGAATAAGGCAAAGCATGTCTGTTATGCTACAGCACACAAAGCATTATGGTAGGGTTAAGCTCAGAGTGGACCAAAATGGCTTTCTCTTGATTGGCCAATCCAGATGTTAGGCCTCTCTCAGGTGATGGTGGTTCAAAATGGTTTGGAGAGGGGTTCACAGTATATATGTGTGTGTGTGCATGTAAAATTATTCTATACATCTATCAGTTCTTTCTCAGTGCAGATAGCTTCTTTCTTCATATATCCATTATTTTTAATTTGTGTATTTGTAATAGTCAGAATAACTTAGTCACTCAAAACAATATTGCTGTTACTGTATAGTGTTCTCTTTGTTCTTCTCACTTTGCTTTTCACCATTTTGTGCAGGTCTTTCCAAGTTTCTAAGATCATAGAGCTCATCATTTCTTATAGCATAGTAGTATTCCATCACAACCATACACCACAAGTTGTTCAGCCATCTCACCAATTGTCGGGAATCCCTGCAATTTTCAGTTCTTTGCCACCACAGAGAGAGCTGCTATAAACATCCTATTCGCATTCAAAGTTTTAATTACTCTTTGTGAATTTTTGTCCATCTTATTTTTACTCACTATTTTCTTTCTCAGCCTCTCTTTTTATCCTATTCCTGTTACCTTGTCTTCTCCCCCCACCTTCCCACTCCCCATCCTACCTACCCCTCCAAGAGTCTCCCCTCCCAATCCCAATCTACACACCCCTGTAAAAGTTCCTCCCCGACCCCATCCCCCAGTTTTCTCACCTCTGTACATGTTCAGAAGACTTCTACACCCTTCCACTTGTACACTGTTTCCTCTTCAACCCAGATGAGAGTAAGTTTCCAGTATTACCAGCCCTCCACCCACAACTGCTTCTTTTGTGTTAGTTCTTCCTTTCACACCCTACTTTTATAATATAATTGCTCCCTTTTCCCTTTTCCTGCCCAGTTTTGTTTTTTAGAATCACCCCATCATACACAACTCAGCCCCAATCTTTCTTTCAAACTACCTTAGCAATGATGACAGCTTTGAGAATACTTATAACATTTTCACATATAGAATAAGTAAAGTTTGACCTCAATGAGTGCCTTATAATTAGTCTTTAATGTTTTCCTTATATTTCTTCTGGATCTTTTATATTGAAATTTCCATTGAGTTTTGGTCTTTTTGTTACAAATACCTGAAAGTCTTTCAGTTCATCAATATTCATTTTTTTTCATTCAAGATTATTCTCAACTTTAATGGATAAGTTATTCTTGGGCACAACCCCAGCTCTTTTGCTCTTTGAAATATAATGTTTGAAGACTATAGTCTCTTAGAGTAGAGGCTTCTAGGTCTTGTGAAATCCTGGCTGTATTTCCACGGTATTTAAATTTTTTGTTGTTGTTGCTTGCAGTATTTTTTCCTTAACCTGGGAATTTTGCAACTTGGCTATAATATTCCTGTAAGTTTTCCTCCTAGATTTCTTTCAGGTGGTGAACAGTAGATTTTTTTCTATTTCTACTTTACCCTTTTATTCTAGAACACCAGGGCAATTTTCCTTAATAGTTTTCTCATAATATTGTTTCAAGATTCTTTTTTAGATCATAACTTTCAGGTAGTCTGACTGTTGAGGTTAGAGTTGGGAAAGCTGGTTCAGGTGTGAAATAATTCACTTAGACCTTCTCTGTAACCAGTGGGTTACAAAGCAGCAGGCTAGCCCTGGAAGGAAGACTAGCAACTCACAGAAGGACAGGGGCCTGTTTTATCTTACAAAATAAGGGGGAATTGTCATGGAAGATGGATGACAGGATAGGGGACCC